TAAAATATATTTTAATGGATAAGATAGATTATTGTTTTTTTAATCTTTCTCCAAACATATTTCTTCATGGCATACTTCTATAACTAAACAATACCTACAGACGTCTCAAAATGTGTTAAACTTTTTGGCCCATTGCACTGCAACACCAACATCTATTTACATCTCCATTTGAAGGAGATGTAAACATGGATTTTTTGAGCCAGTATTCCAGAATGTTTAATCACAAAGTTCAAATTAGGAGACAATTTCAGAAGAGTCAACAACAATTTAGTATGCCATGAACATCTGCCTATGATACTATAATGACCAAAATTTTACATGTGCAAATGACTGGAACTTTGTCATGATGACACAACTGATGCTTTATGTAAAGCTCAGTGTTTTCGCGGTGGCTCTGTCTGCATTCCACCACACAATCTTGGATGAGCTTGACAGACATGCAATGTTGACAATATATCATCAGATTTACCCTGAAAATTGTACTTTGATATGCACACTTAAGTGTTAAGGTTACATCCCTAAGTTGAGCTAAGTGTATTCAGTGCTGGATGGTGAATGTCGCACTAAATTTGTTCCATTTGTGTGACTTTGCAACATTAGAACATTTTCAGCATTAATGCCTGTTTTGTGCTTAAATCTCATTATGTCTCAATTAATAACACTGAGGGGTTTTGGCCAGGTCCTGGGTCTAGTAAACAGGTGAACAGAAGGTAAAATGGTTTAGCTACATCAGGAATGAGAGTCAAAAGGCCGGTGCCCAACAGTTGATTTGCATTTGCATGGCTCTCAGCAACTTCATTTAAATACGAAAACCTCTGCTAGGCACAAGGGGAGGGGGATGATAGGGGAACACGGACACACAGCGTTTTTGACCATTCTTGGCAGTGCCCTACAATTTTCCACTCTGACAAAAACCTCTTGCCGATGGCCCTCAATCTCCATGCGCACGGCAGAACTAGGTGTCAATAGCTGTCGAAAATCCCACTTTTCGTCCTGTAATAATTGCTTATTTCACTCTTTCCTAGCATGCTATAGAGCAGTAAAACTAACACTAAGCAATTTGATCATTGTCTCCTTGTTAACATTTTTCTGCTAGCATTGTTTCTGTTTCCAGCTTCATACATCTGCTGTGCAGATGTTCTACAGCTCTGCCAGAAACTCAGCTTAGCAAACCTGCTAAGGGTAATGGACTTTGTTTGCATCTGTGGTCTGAAATCATAAACATGACGCTACACAGATGTAAGCATCTGTGTAGCGTCATGTTTATGTATAGCTGTGCATGGATGTTGTTGCAGTGTGTGTGTGTTCCACCTCATGAGTCTAATTTCCTGTGTACTGCGGATGTGGGTTGTCTCTTGGTGAACCGTTGACTTCTGCTTTGCCTGCAGTCCTCTGTGCATCCTCACAGCTCTGCTTTTCTGGTCCATCTCCCACAAGCCTCCATGTTCCAGCATGTTTCTGCTGTCAGGATGCCTGACAAGATGAAAGTCTAAATATGTTTCCATGAGTTGGAGTAAACTCATACATTGCTAATACAGGTTAAGAAGTACTTTTTTTTTGTTTTTGAAGGTTCTTCTTGGTGGGTTTTGTTGGTTTATTTGTCTTTTGTCTCTGTATGAAAATTCCTGCTGGGTTCTCTCTCTCTCTCAGACCGGAGCAACTGACTCTAAGGAGGAGTCCCTTCTCAGACCCAGGGGTGGTAACCTGAGAAACAGATTACAAGGCTTGAGGACATGTCTCATAGAGTGTGTGTTCAGACTGAGAACATTTCACAGTTTGCCATGGTCACGGTCACCTCAGCATTGTCACTTCTGAATGTGGAGGTGAATAACCGCAGCTAGGTTAAAGACAACAAGACTGTCATGATTCCTTGAATGGTTTGAGTATCTTGATTATTACAATTCTTTGATGCAAATTATCTGCCATGAAGCTTTGTTAAATTATATTTTACTGTGTAGCGCACTATGTTCCAGCCAGGTGATTAATATGTTTTGCAATGCTCTCTCACTTTCACCTGTGAGTCATTGATGAATGTTAAGTGCTAGCAGCCCAATGTTCAAGTTCAGTCCAGAGCATCCGGAGGGATTTCATTGATTGATGATAAAGTCTGGGTTTTTATAGTTTTTCAGGGGACCAATAGGAATCCTTAAAATGACTGACGCAAAGCATGGATACAACAACCCTTCTCCTGGAGCTGCTGCCTGGTGGCTGGTTCAGAGCACACGGTGGGGAACAGCTCAGTGGGTATAGGCATACAGCTGGAGTGGATAGACTTTAGCCTATGCTTAGTGCATCTTTACAGACGAACCAGACAAATCCATTTTCTACCTTCCCCGTTGCAACAATGGGTGATGGAGCTATGGCATTTCTACATACAGCTATGTACCATACAGTAATTTGTTAATAAAAAGTGAAAACAGAATGATTAGAGAGCTGGCCAGTCAGTTCCTTGGCTAGTTCAATCTGCATCTGTTTCTTTAGTTATTTTCAGTAAAAGAAAATGCTAACAGATCTCCAGATTAACTTCTGTTCAGTCTGAGCTCCTTCTTTGGTAGTGCAGCCATTTGAGAAAGCACCAGCTGAGGAAAATAAGCTCTTTATCAAGGTTATTTCAGTCATACACTGCTTTCCTGTTTAAAATGGAGAGTTAAGTTTGGATTATTTTGGAACTTGGGTACATTTATTAGTACAAGTCAAATAAATAATTTCCAAATGCTAGCACAAACATGTTTCTCTCGATGTCTTTCTTCACACAGTCACTGTTTATCATTAGAGAGTCTAAAACCTTTCACCAGTCCAGAGAGACTGTGAGGCAGATGGGCTGAGCCATACAACAGAATTTTCAACCAGGACATCCCAGTTGCTAGATTTCTGTGCCGAGTAGTATGCCCTTCCTTAAAGGGCTGTCATTCTACAGAACTTAGTTTATCCAGCACCTTTGGGATGCTGGGGTAGTTTGTGTAAATTATATGGTGGACAGCTTGGTAAATAATAAAGCTTAAGACTCTGCCTGCCTTATGTATGCCAGCAGATCCATTAAGTCCTGCAGTGTTTGGTGAACAGACTGTTTACTTACTCATCGCAGAACTCTAAAGAGAAGGCTGTAGGTGTTTCTATGTTCAAATGCTTTCCTACTTGAGGTGTATAGCATTTCCAGCCAAACCCCTACGCCCCCCAGCAAAAAATAAACAAACAAGAAAAAAATGTCATGCATCATATTATGATATATGACATTGTTTTTTTAAAGAAGTTATTACTTCTTATTTCTCAGAAATGTGAAGAGAACTTGTGTTAACTGTGACCAGAGGTTAAACCATTACAGCCTTGCAAGGTATCAAGTTATTAGTCAAGTTTACTGGTGGGATAAACATTAGTCCCACCTCTAATAATGGCTTACTTCACTCTTTCCTAGCATGCTATAGAGCAGCTTAAATGCACAAAGCAGTTTTTCTTTAGATTTTTTACATGGCCCATCAAAACAAAAACGTACAACACAAGACCATCATGCAACTTTTGAATCTTTTAATCTTTTTTTGAATACCTTCCAGAATCATACAGGCACCAATCGGAAACTTGTGGTTAGGTCTGTCACAATAACAACTTTTGCTGAGCAATTAATTCTCAAAAATTATTGTGATAAATGACAATATTGTTTGAAGACCATTTTAAACTGATGTAATGGTAATGACATAATAATGCAAGCATATCCTGCCAAAAATAAAAACATTTTATTTTCAAAAGAACATTTAACACTGGAACTGATAAACAAAATAGCCAAAAACAACCACAAACAAAAATAAAATGGACTCTGTCTCCGTTAACAAAAATTACACATTATAAGGCGCATAGAATAGACGCTACAGTAGAGACTGGAGTTACGTTATGCATCCACTAGATGGAGCTACACTAAAGGGAATGTCAACAAAACAATCCGACTTCGGTTGGCGAGGAGAGCCTTCCGCGACTGGGCTGGGGCGTGGCCGGACAATGGTCACCCTTCTCTGTTCGCGCACAGCTTGTTCGTGGAGAACGTGGTGCTAAATGACCTGCAGACGACCTGATTCTAGACGGTCAGTAGGTAGATAGGTCAATCAAACTTTATTAATAAATTACAAACCAGCGTTCTGACAACTATCCCAGCATGCACCGCACGCTTCTTCTTCTACGGGTGAAGATGAAGTCGGCGGCTGCTTACCGTAGTTGCTAGACTTGTTGTGGCTCAATATTGGTCCATATATAAGGCGCACCGGATTATAAGGCGCACTGTCGGCTTTTGGGGAAATTGAAGATTTTTAGGTGCGCCTTATAGTGCGGAAAATACTATACATTCAACTAAAACAGTACAGATAATGAACTCTGTATACTATATTGCCCTTCAATAATCATTAGATTTAGATAGAGAAGATGGGCATATCTGGCTGCCTGATGCAATAGTTCAGTCCTTCCTTACACACAGGTGTCAAACTCTAGTCCTGGAGGGCCAGCAACTTTTAGATGTGCCTTTGCTGCACCACACCTGAATAGAATAATTAGGTCATTAGGAAGGCTCTGGTGAACTTAGCTACACAAGAAAGAGGTAATTAAGCTATTTCATTCCAGTGTTTTGTACCTGTGGCAATTCTTAAACTGCAGTACAGTGGCCCTTGAGGACTGGAGTTTGACACCCCTGCGTTAAGGCAATAAGGAAGGTAGGAGGTAGGAGTTTCATCAATAGAAAGAGAAAAAGGCGGGAAGAAACGATAAAGCCGATAAATTAAAATGAGATCGATAATTTTCATTTATCATGAGATTAATTGATTTATTGTTTATCGCGACATGCCTTCTTGTGGTTATTTTCCTATGTCTGGCTTTTGTAAAGCTCTTCCAGGTTATTTAAATGTTTAGCTCTAATGAAAGAATTCAATGTACACTGAAAAAAAATAACTCTTTGGATTAACATAAAAAAATCATGGAAAGATTTTCCACCTGATTACTTTGCTTTATTTCAGCACTATGTAATTCTGTTACTCCGATTTAAAGGAAATGTGTTGGCTCAACTTAATTTATTAAGGTTATTCCAATTTAAAGCAAATGTGTTGGTTCAACTTAATTTATTAAGGTTATGCCAATTTAAAGCAAATGTGTTGGTTCAACTTAATTTTTGTGGTTGATTCAACTTATTTACTTTAGTTGGACCCAATGTAATTTAATAGAACCAGACCAACTAATTTGCAATGTTTTGGACCAAATAATTGACTTTACTTGATTAAGATGAATGCAAATTTAGTTGAAACCAACTTATTTTACAGTGATACCTTCACACTACTTAATTAAGTTGATCCAACTCATGAAAATTAAGTTAGCTGAACAAACATGCTTCATGCTGAAAGAAAGCTATGTAATCGTGTGGAAATCCTTTCCATGATTGAATTACGTTAATTCAAAGACATATTTTTAAGTGCTACTAAATTAAGTGTTTTAAGACCGCACTGGCTGTCAGGGTAGAAAGAACACTCAACAATTAGAAAGGGTATAACAGAACTGTATTTTCAAAATTGTTGTCCATTTTCTTTACCATGTGCAGTGCAGGCACTTTACTACAAAAGGAATAAAATCGTGGCAGATGGCAACTCATTTGAACATCTATTTAAGCTAGTTTCAATTAATAGTTTAAACAAAACCTTTAATGTCAGTGCTTAATTAGTAACAAGAAACTTCAAAATAGTTCAGCCTACCACAGGCACAGATTTTAAATTTACAAGATTCAATGTTTTATTTTAACAAAATTATATACTTAGCATAACATAACAGTCAATAACCCCACAGGAACCTGGATGAAGTCTGGCATGGCTTCTGAATCCTGTGGATAATTAGAAAAGTACAAATTAAAAAAAGAATGAGGTGAAAGTTTTGATTTTCTTGTGCACAACCTCTGACAAACAGAATTATAATACATACAAGAGACATTGTAGAACTCTCCTCCATCGTTGTCGAGGAAAACTGAGACATCCCAAGGTAGCAGTCCT